AAAAAATTGGTAATGTTTGAGACCCTTAAAAGCCCTCATATTTTGACCCACAATATAATGTGGTATAATGAGTGCTAAATTTTGATTTGTTACACAGTCACTGATATAGAACCTAATTCTTTTGTTACATCATTGTGAGTGAATTTGTGAATTTAAAAATGTAGAACTCTAACATTTCTTCCACATTATACTGTGTAAATTTATAAATATAAAATTGTGATATTCTAGCACTTCTCCATAAATAGGTATAAAACTAATAAATGATAATTCAATAAACTAATAGAGAAGAATATAAAAGGAAGCCAAGTGAAGAAGGATGGTTGAGTATTCATGTTCAATATTGATGTGACTGTCAAATTTTTTTTTTTTTTTTTTTTTTCAAAATATAACTTTATTGACAACAAAGCTAGTTTGTCTCGTCTTTTCTTTGAACTGGAGATATGATAAATAAAAGGAAACTTATATGACAAAAGAATTTTTAAAAATTAATTACGAAGAAAAATTTATAAATTTACTTTTTAATATTTATAAGGTTCATCACTAATTTGAATTTTTTTTTCTAACCCATATGTATTTGGAATCCAGATGTTTTTCAATTGGTGGACTGTTGTTGCACTAAGAATTTTATCATCTTGTTAGGTACCCTTTATTCCAATTTTGAATGTGTCATTGTCAATGTTTATGGTCCAAATGATAGTGCCACTAGGAAGAGAGCGTGGGATTCTCTGGTTAGTTTGAATTTGTTATATAGAAATCCTTGGTGTTTGGGGGGAGATTTTAATGAAGTTAGGTACATATCAGAGAGGAAGGGCTGCTCTAGGAGAGATAAGGGTATGAGAGAGTTTAATGAGCTTATTGACAATCTGGAAGTGTGTGATATTCCAATGTTGGGAAGGAAATTTACCCAGGGTAATTCGCAGGCTGATGAGAAGTGGAGTAGGATTGATCGATTTTTGCGCAGTCCTGATTGGATGAATAAGTTCAATTTTAAATTATGGGGGTTACCAAGAAGGGTATCTGATCATTGTCCTATTTTGCTCATGGAAGATGAGCAGGATTGGGGTCCAAAGCCATTTAAATTCATAAATGCTTGGACCCTCCATTCTAGCTTCTTAGCTCTGGTAGAAAAAGTTTGGAAGGAGACTATTGTGGATGGTTGGAGTGGGTTCAAATGTTTAAGAAAACTCAAAGCGCTTAAATTGTCATTGAAAAAATGGAATGCTGAGGTGTTTGGTAATGTGGATTCTAAGCTCAAACTCCTCGAGGAGAAATTACATATTTTGGATTTGAAAGCAGAAGAAAGTTCCCTTTCTGAATCAGAGCTAACACGAAGAAGGGATGCAAAATGGGAAGCTTGGAAATTGAGTAGAATGGTGGAGTGGCTATGGGTGCAGAAGTCCAAAGTGAATTGGACATTAAAAGGCGACATAAATACAAATTTTTTTCATGTTATGGCTACTTCTCGTAATAACAAGAATACCTTATGTTCTATTAATGTGAATGGTGTTGTCTTGGAAGATCCTGAGGCTATTAGGGCTGCAGTGCTGGCTCATTTTAGGAATCTCTTTGCTGAAAGTTGGTCAAGCAGGCCAAGTTTGTTTGGCCCTTTCAAATCCATAAGGGGGGCTGACGTTAGGGAAGCACTTGAAGCTGATTTCTCAGAAGCTGAAATAGTTAGAGCCTTGAAGCAGTGTGAAAGGAACAAAGCACCTGGTCCGGATGGTTTTAACTTGATGTTTTTTAAGAAATGTTGGCCGATTATTAAGGGGGATGTGATTCATTTCATGGAAGATTTTCACAATAACTCTAAGTTGGTTCATCGGATTAATAGTTCTTTTGTTGCCTTGATTCCAAAATCTGATAATCCTTCTTGCCTCAATGATTATCAGCCTATTAGCCTTCTAGGCTCTTTGTATAAAATTCTTGCAAAGGTCTTGTCTAATAGGATTAAGATTATAATGCCAAAGATCATTAGTGATTCTTAGTCAGCCTTCATTGGAGGTAGAAGTATTTTGGATGGTGTGCTGATTGCAAATGAGATAGTTGACAGTTGGAAGAAGAAGCATAGAAAAGGCTTTGTTTTAAAACTTGACTTCGAAAAAGCCTATGACTCAATTAACTGGGAGTTCCTTTTCTCTATGCTTGCAAATTTTAGGTTTGGCGACAAATGGATAAGTTAGATGAGAGAATGTGTTCATTCTGCCATAGTGTCTGTATAAGTCAATGGATCACCAACATCTGAGTTCATTCCTCAAGAGGTCTTAGACAAGGGGATCCATTATCCACATTTCTCTTCAATGTTGTAGCTGAAGGTTTGAATATTCTTTTGGGTAGAGCTTTGTAGTAGGGATTGATTAGAGGGGTTGTGGTTGCCTCAAATGATCTTGTGATGACCCATCTTCAATTTGCAGATGATACAATTCTATTTTGTGAGGCAGAATGGAAGGAGATTGGGAATGTAAAAAGGATTCTGAGGTATTTTGAACTGCTTTCAGGGCTGAAAATAAATTACCATAAGAGTGCGGGGTGTGGGATTGGCATTACTGAGGACCTCACTAAAGGTTTTACTGAAAATTGAACTACCTTCATCAAAATCTGCCTTTAAAATACTTAGGGATGCCATTGGGGATTGTCTAAGGAGAAGAAGATTCTGGCAACCTGTGATTGATAAGTGTAAACAAAAACTAGCCTCTTGGAAGAAGAGATTCCTATCATTCGCAGGTAGATTAACTTTGATAAAGTCAATGTTGTCTAGTTTACCAATCTATTACTTATCTTTGTTCAAAATGCTGGAAGGGGTTGCAAAAGAAATTGATAGAGTTCAGTCTAGATTCTTATGGGGAGGTGATGAACTTAGAAGAAAGATTCATTTAGTAAAGTGGGAGGAGATCTCTAAAAGTAAAAACCAAGGGGGTTTAGGAGTTAAAAGGATTAGGCTTATGAATGATTGTCTTCTCTTAAAATGGTGGTAGAGGTTTGGGGCTGAAGATAAAACCCTGTGGAAGCTGGTCATATGCAGCAAGGATTATGAGGATGGGAGGGGATGGTGGCCTGCTCCTGTGGAGAATCTCAGGTGCTCTCTGATCTGGAAAGATATTTTGGGGATTGCTTTGGGTAGGCCTGATTTGGTAGAGTTTTTTAAAAATAACATAGCCCTTGCTATTGGAGATGGGAAGTGTAGACACCCCATTTTTGACCGTCCATAAGACTTCGACGCGACTGATGATTTACATGGTGGAGAAAGGTGTGCAGGGCAAAGGTTCAATTTCTTCGGCAAAGAGAGAGTCAAATCTCAACTTCATACCCCTGTTCTGGACTAGAATGATCTCGATCAAAAGATTTTAGACTTAAAACCCTCTCTTTCAAAAACATTTTTGAAATAAAGTTTCTGCGATGTTCCGAGGCTCGCATTTTGTCAAAAATTGCGCTTTTCAGTAAACCGAGCAAGGACAAACTGGAAATGAATGAAAGAGAGATGAAATCTTTGAAAAATCTTTCAAAACACCTTACTTAGGGGTTTGAAGTTGAAGAAAAGAAGAGAAGAGGGAAGAAATCCAGTTGGGGGAGAAAATGGGCATGAACCGTTAAAAGAAAGTCGAGCAGCCCTCGCCAAATCGGGCCTATTCATTTGGATACTTGGAATCAAACTATGAGGCCATCACCGTTGGAAAGCTTACTCCCGGGGCTTCATTTTTCACTCAAGAATCTCCTAAATTCAATTCCGGACGGGGGAGATATGGTTGATTGGAGTAGGGCATCACTCTGGTTGGACCGAAATCTGCGCGGCTTTACGGAAACTGGCATAACTTTTTCCACAGGAGGAATTTTAATGTAAGGTTTGGGCCATTGGAAAGCTAACTTCCGGGGCTTCAATTTGGACACTTGAATGGCCACCATTGGACTTCCCAATCACCCACCGGTCACTTTTCTTCCCGGCAGCCTTTTTTTTTTGTCCTGAAAGTAGCTGGCCGGCCACCTATTTGGTGAAATGACTTTTTTCCCCTTTTAAACTAGCCGGCCATGCCCCCCTCCCCAAGTGTTTCCTAGAAGTGAATTTTTTTTTCCACTACACCCATGTCCGAGGGTTTGGCCATTTTGGGGGGAAACTTGATTTGTTTTCCCCCCCTTTTTTTTTTCCCCCTCTTTTCCACCCATTTTGCTTATATATACAGCCCCTCCCTTTCAGATTTTAGGGTTACAAAATTTTTTTTGAGAGCCTTGCATCAATTCTCCCTCTCTCTCTACTCTAAGCCTCAAAACACCAAGTCCTACACCCTTTTCTTCATCACCACCTAGCACCACACTACCACTTCCATTCCAGCAGCTTGGAGGTCTTCTCAGAGGCTAGGAGGCAGCTTTTCTTGGTCCAAGAGGCAGCAAAGGATTGGTCTTCAAGGGTGAGTTGATTTCTCCCTCTTTCTAGCTCATTTTTGCAAGTTTTCTTAGCCCCTTTTGCTTGCTGTTTTGAGCTCCGACCAAAACTGAAAGTGGCATTTTTTTGAGCTCTATTTCATCTTTCATTAAGGGTCTTACCCTGTTTGGAACCCCCATTTTGCACTTGCTTCATTACCCCTTTGTATGCCATAATCTTGCATAGTATTTTTGGCCTATGTATGATCTGTTTTGGAGCATGATGTAAACTGTATATAGGCTTATTTTGATCCCTTCTTCAACATTGAAGAAGGGCTCAACACT